TTATGTTTCTTTGCGCAACAGCGAACTCTGGATTCATAGATGTTATAAGCAACAGCAATAGGTTCGTTTTTACTCTCTGACAATGGATAGTCATGGTCTAAGCGTCGATTGTTGGCATATGGTCTGTAACAGTCTAATCTTTACGTTGAAGCACTTGGGTTCAACTCTCTAAATATTTTAAAAATTTATCATTTATTCATTATATTAATTTAGTCTGGGATTATCGCAGTCATTGAGCAAACAACTCAGACAAGATTGTCCTAAATTTTGCATTCCTTGGTATGGCCCCATCAGGAAACCATGAAGTCCATTTGTTCGCAGGCCTTGGCGCATTAGAGAGGTTATTTACATTCTGCTGCGTATCCACTGATATTTGTTCTGTAACTTGGAACCAAATTACTGGCATCAATTCCTGAAACATCAATGTTGACAAGATAAGTATTGTTTTTAACCATCAACTGATATGCAATGCGTGTGGCGCGCTAGTGTTCTAACGTCCTACAACTCTGAGTTATTCCGAAGGCTTTGAAGTAGCTATGAGTAAAAGGCACCTCATTGTGCTGTAAAATGGGCTGTTAAAGATTTCAAATCTCTATCAACTTACATTGCCGTTTTTTACTTCTTCAAAATTATTCGTTTTATGAAGAATTACCTGATCAGTCGGTTCCATGATCTTTCGTCTTTGGTCAGATCATTTGTGACTCATCACATTTGCATCATTCTATACTGTAGAATAATGCATACTAGCACTGGTTTTGTGTGTTGAGCTTGTGAGATCACCACCGAGTCTTTGCATGAAGAAAACGTCTCTGGTTTGTGATGTTCGCTGTATTCACAGCTTTACAGTATCCCATTGCTATAAGGCACTGATTAAAGCATTTTAGAAGGCAATATTCTGCTCAGAAAAAAGATCTTCTTTTGTGTTCCTCCGAGTTGCATGCTGGCCTCCCAATCGACGTCTGTCGTGTTTTGGCTCCCACATGAGAGGCTCATGGACGAAAGGAAATCGTTTATGCTCAACCAGCCAACCTCATAAGGCCAACTTTTCTTAATCTCCTCCTCATCTATGGCGCATACATATGCCCAGAAAAGGATGAAGTCTTTCGTGCATGGTCCTGACCTTCATCTTGCGTGCATACATAATTCAACTGCCGTTCTTGGCCCTTTCTTATAACAACTGTTTCCACGCCATAAAATGCACTGACCCCTGATTTATTAACCGCATCTACTTTAGAGCTCATTGTAATTCTAAGAACTTGTAAATGCAAACAGGCATGTAGCACATTTGCAAAAGAACGGTAAGATCCGTTAAATTTTATTCGCATATGAAATATTTTTAGAACCCATCAGCATTAGACACCGTATTGATGCAACATTGACTAATTACTAACCAAATGTTTAGCAAACATAGACTGGTGTCCGAAACTACTACTAGTGATAACTTCCTTTATCTTGAATGAGGTGGTTAGCACCATGATTTCGATCTTCCTCCGTAGATCAGTGCAAAGGGTGCTTAGGCATCACTTCTTCGCCATTTGCTGATTTCATCAACTGTCCCAAAATGGTGTTGCCTGATAGAGAAAGTCTCATGCACCCTGTGATAATTCACTGATATGACTTCTTGGC